CAGAGCATTTTCTACACAAATAGAGAGGAGACCATGAAGAATTTGTTTGTGCCACTATGGGACAACCTGGATGATTGGAAAATGATTAGTGGATTTTTGGAAAAGTGTAAAATAATGGGAATATCTGATGTTTTGAGTAAAGAAAGTCAAAATCACTATCATCAATTTATTTATTGTGCGTATCTTGGAGGTAAGGCAATAAATACATATATATATATATATATCTCTTTCTCAAGCCAAAATTCTTCACTCTACTGTCCTTTGGAGAGTTTCATAATCATAAATGGTCAAAAGTGCTTCTCAAACTCCTCCTTTCTTAATCCAAATGTATGAAATTACTCCATACATACAATTATATCATGTCAGGTCAGAGTTATAATGACAACCCCATATTTGGCTGTGGTTTGCACAGATTGTATTTCAACAGCCAGTCCAAAGCTGCCAACATTTTCTGGTAATAGTTGTGTTAATGAAGAGCCCACAGCAGCAGCAGCGGCAGCGCATGGCTTTTCATTAGGAGGAGCTGCTTCTGTTCTGTCTGGAACAAAAACAATCCCCACTGCGAGAAAACCACAGTCTTCCTGTCACGTTTCACTCTGTAACAGTTCGACATGCGTCGTTCATCCACAACAGGCCAGATCACACAGGAATATAGTTTTACAAGGGAACTAGATTTGAATTGAGTTTAATGGAATGAGAAGGTATCCATGTTCCATGAGCTGCTGAATCCTGGACATTATACAGGCTCTGGCTTCAGACAATAAAGTACAACTAAAATTATAATTGTCAAAACCAATGAGCATTTGTCTTCTTGACTCTACTATGAAAAACAAATACTGAAGACGATATAAAAGTACAAAAGCACCATGGATGCAGTAAAAGGTTCAGTGCTCTTTACAAAGTTTGGATGAAGGAACTGGAGCGCAAATGGGTTAAAAGAGAAGAAACCCCCAGATAATAAATGTGTGGATATGAAATTATAAACATATCTTACCTCCTGCTAATCCACACAAAATAAGGGGAGATGTCCAGCACATTTATGAACAGCCAAAACATGCCAAACTCCCGGACAGTAAAATCCATGAAAAGGACACAAATCATGAAAAAAATGATGACCTAGACCAGTGTCTCCCAAAGTGGGGTCCGCGGCCCCCTGGTGGGCCGCGAGGGTACTGCAGGGGGGCCGCGGGAGGTCATAAAAAAAAATATATATATATATTTAATGTTAAATTTATAATGTTTTGTTTGTAATATTAAAATATTTGTGTTCATTATTTGACTTGAATAATCCACTGTAATCATTTTTGTATTACAATGTTTGTAGCAGAGGCTATTTCCCCAAAATAAAATAACCAGAAGAGCCTATTCTTAATGTTGTCTTCTTGGTTATTATTTTGGGGGGCCACGCAGACCCGTCAGATTTTTAAGGGGGCCTCGGTGTTACTGAGTTTGGGAATGGCTGACCTAGACAGATATGAGTGATGTTTGGCTGTTACTGTAAAGAGTAGATTAGAGCTGCTCTGACAAACTCCATGTTTGTTCAATTTATGTGTGTGCTGTTTAAATTCTCTTATAGCAACCTGTTAGCAACCAGAGAGCCAATCAGGAGTTAGGCCTGTTTCTTAGCACTTTTCAACATCTATCTGCTAAACTAACCTTGCCTGCAAGCTGAATTCTCGCGGTATTTGTGAGTTCACAAACACTCGAGAATACATCTTGTCCCGCTCCCACCAACCCTTTTCGAGTAGAACATCTAGGTGTTCAAGCCAATCACGCGCCAGTCTGGGGGTTTAGGGCGGGATATCTGGGTTTGACGAAAGCAAGAAGTGCTGGGCCGAAGCAAAACAAACATGGCTACGCAAGAGGACGGACGCGTAGCTGAGGCTATCAAGTCAGTTTTTGCAGAATCTCCAATTTCTTTTTTGAAAGATGAACAGCGAGAGGCGCTTTGTGCATTTCTGGACGGCAGCCTTGGTAGGCGGGCCCACAGCGTCACTTCGCCCAATCAGCTTGAAGTATTCTGCTGCTTATCCCTCCTTTCCCCGAAAGGATTCTCCTGCAGAAGTCCCAGATTGATATTGTGGAGAACGCATTAGAGTTCTACACAATCATCAATCTGGCTCTTGCCAGGTGACGGCTAAACATCATTACAAATAAACACCAGCTTCAAGTAGAGTGAAAGCCCAAAAACGCCTAAAGGATGAGAGCAAGTGTCAAAGCAGGAGTCAAGCTAGTATGGAAGAAAAATCCTTGATGCTTTCCTTAAATGGCTTCAGGGAATTAGCATTGTTCATCTCTATTACAGTCTACAGGGCCACCTCTAACATTGCTGCACCATGACTCTGCTCTGTCAAAGCGTCCCAGGGCATCTCCAGGGGCAGCCTTGATATTTCCTGTGATAGTCCAAGTTATTTTCATACTGCTGAGCTCATATTGAACACGGACAGAGGGAGGAATGCATGATGTCAGGGTTCAAGGCTATATTTGGACAAGGTCTGCTTCCTCACAGATAAAAGACTCCAGTCCAATCTGAACTGGACAGTGACGACAACAGCTAGAGCAACAGATGTGTGATGGAAAGAACTCTGTTTCTGCACACTCATGGTTATCACTCATGCCTTTTGTGTGACTCATTGTTGTTTGTATAAATATATATTGTATTGACTTATAATTAGTTAGTAGTAAGAAATCTTTATGGTGTATTTTACTGATCAAGGTCAAACAAAGCGCTTTACAATGCTCACTCCACACACAAAAGATGACAAAACACTGGTGCATCAAAACGCCCCCAATCTACATCATCCATTCACTCACTGCATTCATATTGTACATGTTTTAGTGGTAGGAGAAACCGGAGCACCCGGAGGAAACCTTTGGGACAGTAGTCTGAATCTAGTATCATTTGCTTTTAAAAACTATTTGTACAAAAACTGAACTCTGAAAGAAAGCTTTTGAAGAATTTGCGTCTCAAAAATGTTGCTAAATTTGGATCCAGTTTTCTATTTTAATGATTTGGTAGTTTTAGATGTATACATATGTGCTATACATCTATTGCTCACTACAAGGATCTGCTGTTATCTTGACACCATGCTGTGATGGAGATTTCTCAGGGAAATATTATGAGAGACCAAGTTTTGTCTTGTAAACATGAGTATTAAATCATTCGAAACCCCCAGAGCATGGAACAATGTATTCAAATCCACTAGTTCCTGACGCTGAAAACAGTTAGGTTAAATTTTTGCCTTTGGATCGACTTATTCAGACGATAAGTAAAAAAGAGAGGACCACCCTCGCGTTTGTGTGCTTTTGCCTTGTTGATAAGTTGGCTTTTCCATGAAATTTCACGTCATTCTACCCCACCATGAAACCAAAAACTATATCACCATAGAAACTTGCATGTGCCGGGCCTTCCAGCAGAATGTATCACAGTGAGCCATAATACATATGAGGTTATATTATCTTCACTTAATCATTCTGGGGAACATGCAATGGTTTTATAATAACATATGCCTCACCCTAAATGTCACAGACTGTAAACACAATTCAAAGTGAAGTGGTTGATTTCTTGTAAACGTCTTTTTTACTTTCCCGGTGCTTGGTTTTAAAACGTTTCCTAGTCATATTCCGGTCAGTGTTTTTGTCCTTGCATTATGTTTGGTCTAAGTCTCTTTGTGGAGATACGCCCACAGTTTGACATTTTAAAAATGAGTGTTTTTGTTACGGGAACGACTGGGACTCCAAGGAGATGAAATTCAAATGTAATGAGTGGGATGTATTGAAAAGGACTGAGAATTCATAGATGTGTATAAATATGTGAATAGATGTTTCTATTGTAATCTGCATCTTCTGCATTTATCACAACCTCCACAATCCGACTTTTACACATAAACAATACTTACTTTTTTCTAACTGGTATTATGCTAAGACATTCAATGCAGACATTCATTTTCAAACCAAATGAGTACCTTGAGAAATGTAATAAAATCTTTTATTCTTTAAGTTTCCTCGCTTTTCAAGATTCAAGACTAATTTCTTGTGTCCTGTAGGAAATTTGTCTCGGACTCACAGGCTGCTACATTGAAAATACACATAAGACAGACATAAAACACAACACAGTCCCACAGGCATAAACCATCACCGCTCTGCTCGATGGCCTGCATTCAGGAGGATCACAGATATTGGTAGGAACGAGTTCTTCAGTTGTACGGGCGACAGTAGCTCAGTTGGTAGAGCATTGGCCTTTGAGCCTGAAGGTTGTGGGTTCGAGCCCACCGTAAGACCTACTTCACGACTCCCACTGATGACTGCTGTCGTTGTGTCCTTGGGCAAGACACTTAACCCTACTTTGCCCAAAGCCCCAACTGAAAGATCTCAGCTCCTGTGGACTCACCACCTGCAGGAGGATCAGTGAGGGGCTGGTGCTCTGTGTACTGGGTGCAGCTCTGACTGCCACCCCCCCGACCCAGAAATGGATTAAGGGGAAGAAAATGGATGGATGGATGGATGGAGTTCTTCAGTTCAGATCTTTTCTTATTTCTAGTTGGTTCTGTAGCGGCGGCCTGATGGGAGGAGCTCATAATGAGAGTTGAGGACATGAGAAGGTATTCTTGGCCTTCAGATTGTGTAAAAGACTGGACCACCCTCACTCAACCAATTAGCTCTTAGCCTAAAGCGTCACATAGTGACTCAAAGGGATGTTTCTTACACAAAAGCAAAAGATAACGTTTTGCAAGAGAATGTTGTTGTCTGATGTGTTTACAAAATACTACTTCTAGAAGTTTTTTCTTTTTCAGTTGCGAGGAAAATAGTGAGGTACCCCAGTGGTAAGAAAAATATGTGAAAATAAAAAAGCAAGTGATGACATATAGTCATCTCATAAACTCACAGGTTTACAAACACCGGCAACATTTGTGATTTTTTTGGCCATTTGTTTGCGAGCCCATATCACCTGTTTATCTAAACGGATGTAAACTGAAAGTTCAATCTCACAACAGGCTGACCTCGATGATGTAATCGTTGCCGTCTTTTCCATGCACGGCCTTCACGGCGCAGATGTCCAGGCCTCCGAACATCTCTGCACACGAGTCCACCCACAGCCGGTATCTGCAACGCCAAAAGCACCACAACCACAATGCAACATCTGAAAAGACTTTCTTACAAACAAAACTGTGGTGCTCAGGGTAGAAGCTCATTTCAGCAAAGAGCATCATTACAATAAAGATTTCTTGCCTCAATGTTGCAATCTGACCAACAACTTTATAGTCAACAAGCTGAGACGCATTTCAACTACAATATTTGATACATACCACATCATTGGAACCTGAAAACCAGTACATATTTATGGGTCAGCTCACCGATCTGTCATGGCGATCTGTTCCAACATGGCCGACCCTGTGTTGGCTTTCCAGTTACCAGAGATGGACGTTCTCCTGAAAAAGGACACAACATAAATTAAGGGCCTGTGGGCCTTAAACTTAAACTTACTCCTTATTTAGTTTATAAACCCCAATTAAGAGTGCTGGCTGCTGGTTGTGGTTTGAATGCATTAGTTTTGACTAAAACCAGGAAGTCCTCTCAGATTATTAGTCCCAGTCTCCACTCACATAAATTCTGGTCTCACATCTCTGACCTGAAGTCCACTTACATTAGTCCTGTGCTCAGATCTCTGCACAGGCTTTCTCATGGTCTTGCACCAAAGTGCATCTCATTTGTCATTGGTGACAATTTAATTTGGGTTGACCATTGGGTTGACCAAAGTACCTAAGAAAACTGTGATTATCGTTTGCAGGGATGACTTGAAGAAGAAACATTCTGCAAAATGTTATACGAAAATGATAATAAAACTTTAAAATGTGAAATTTGTTGTTATACAATGTAAAATAAGTACAAAATATGCGGCAAAATATCTATCAAGAGTAAAAAGAGTCTGCTTTGACTGTAACTCCCTAAGGCAGTGTTTTTCAAAAATTTTGAGCCAAGGCACACTTTTTTCATTGAAAAAATCTCGCAGCACACCACCAGGAGAAAATGTAAAAATATATACTCTGTAGCCTATATTCCCAATATAAAGTCATTCTCATCATACTGCTTAAATAGACATCCAGGCCTTGACATTAAGCTTTGTTTAACTTTTCTCAATACAATGAGTAATGTATTGAGAAATGTATGTATACGTATATAAAAATTCCACCAGTATAGGTCAATATTGGGTGATGGGTTTTGAAAGCCCAGTTATTGGTATCAGGACTGGAAAAACTGGGTCGATGCATCCCTTGGTACAATGCAGCATACAGTATGTCTCCCTCCTATCCTATGATCTAAACAAATACACATTTCTTCATGTATTTGAATGTAAAAGGCCTTCTCAAACCTTCTCCATCAAAAGTCTCCCTCCATCTTCCTTCACTAATGTCACTAACCCCTCCCTCCGCAGACTCACATGTAGGCTTTGTAGTTGCTGCCAATCTTCTGAATACGGATGTCGTACTTGGACTGCACGTATGGCTCGGAGGTGGCGTATGTCCCGGCCAGGGCCACGACGCTGGTGATGTCCTGGAAGTCCTGCTGGTTCTCCACTTTGATCTGAGCCCAAAACACATGTCACGTTAGAGGTAATGCACAGAGCCCCAGGAGCCAACAGCTGTGCAGGCTTCAGACCGGGCCAATGGAGGACGTGTGGAAACTCGGACCACGTCACGTCAGCCTGTACCCTATTGCTGTTTTTGTGATCTAGGGAAACGCCATGATGTCCTACTTTTTGACAGTAAATTTGCAGTAGGCTTTTTCCCAGCGGGAGACACAATTTAAAGAGAGAAAAGAGAATAAAAGTTGGTTCATAGTCCACCGAGTAGCTATTTCACCAGATATTCAGGACTTTGTTATCTGTTGTTTTTAATCTGTTAGGTGGCAGCTCTGATTGCCACCCCCCCTGACCCAGAAGTGGGTTAATAAAGGGGGAGAAAATAAATGAATTAACTACCCAAATCCCATTTCTTTGGTGATGTCTTTCTTAATTATTAATTCAGCCTTATACATGGATTAAAAAAACATTTGAGAGAAAACCAATATGAACTTCTAGACCTTTTTAAACTTTTGCCCAGGACCAATGACTGTGTAGCGAGTTATTTTTTGAAGGTAGATCTAGTCTTGGATCTCCCCCAACCTCATGGAGATGCTTATTTTTCCCACAGAGTTTTTGAGTTATTTCCTTGCAGATGCAGCAGGGTCCAAGGACAGTGATGATCTGGGAAATGTAAGGATTCCCTCTCCCTATGGACACATTGTTTGATGAATAGTTGTATAGAAATTGTTTGTGACAGTAATATTTAGGCTCAGTATTTTCAGCAATTTTACTTATCTCCCCAATAATTCCAGGGCTCTTGCTTGTTTAGAAAGGTCTAACTTTGTAATACCTAAATTTAACTTCATTACATGACAATCTAATTTACTGAGGTTGTGGGAAGTCTTGTGAGGTCGGCTGCAGACTGCTGTTCCGAGTACAAACTAATTGAACAAAATGAATTGTGAAAAGGGTGGAACAAAGAAATCTCCAAAAGAGCTTTTAAGAATGACACGCTCCAATGTAAATATAGAGCCAATATAAGTAGGTTTATAGTGCATTAAAGATGGGTGGGCAGCTTTGAAGCAGAGTGTGGTCCAGTAAACAGACATGTCACTTTGAAGGGTGATGAAACGAATCACAATTACAGTGTAAACATGAGCTTATGCCAGGACTTGGACTTAGATATATTAACTTCTCTAAATAGGACTTTCTATAGACGTTAGAATCACAAGTGAAACACTTATCACATTATGGCAAACTGTGATATAAAGATTGTGATGAAAAAAATAATACATCTCAATTACTGCTTATGAACTTTTAAAAAGACAAGAATTAAGATAAGTGCATCAAATTCTTAAGCTACTAATGTAGTCAGATGAAAGCACTTTATAAAAAAAACATGCCTTACTTGCAATACAATTTGAAAAAAATATATATTTATCTACAAAACCGCTTGTCTGCAGACACCAACTAAGCCAGAACCTAATAAACTCAAAACCAGGTGAAAATGAGACAAGGATTCAGTCAGGTCTAAAGCAGGAGTAAAACAGACCTCAACAAATTCTACATTTTTAAATAAATAGAAAAAATATCATGTCATCTCCTCTTGTTAATATTAAGTTATTGTAAGAGATCCTTTATTTTTCCCATAGAGGGGAAATTTCAGTGTTGCATCACCAGTGACCACACAGTGGGAATGAAGCACACAGCAAAAGATAAGTAAACTATAGTTATTTTATGCTTATTACTTATACTTGTATACTTATAAGTATACTTGTTACTTATTTTAACTTAAATAACATTTCTGACTTTAACATAATAAAGAAGCAAGTATAAAACTGTAAAGAAGAAAGTGGTCTAACTGTGGTCTAATACTCCGTACTCACTGATACCCATGTGGGTTAAATGTAAGAGATTTTACATGTGAATATGCTGCACATGTTTGTTATAATACATGCGCTCACACATGCAGGAGGCTGAACGGGCTGTAGCAGTGCTTTGAGTGAACTTCTTTCCAAACACTCAGCTGAATGAATGAAGGTGAATCCCTGTGGCTGCAGCGCGTCACATGTGCAGTCCGTCTGCTCGGAGCATGACGGCCCAGATCTGGCACCCGTGTGATGGTTCTGAGTGTACCGTGAGGTCCTAACAGTGTCAAACCAGTTCATGCTCTACAAGGACCTGGCGCTGCCCCCGAGACTTATGGGAAATCCTATACAAGTATGGGCCCTGAACAGGAAACCAAACCCATCCATGCAGACCAGAAGGACACACGAGGAGAGCGATCATGGCCAAAGGTCTGAGGGCATCTTTTAAAGAACAGATATTGTGCATAATTTTTTTTCACTGTGGACCATAAACATGATCTTGAGAGTATTTACTTTCATGATTTAGAATGTGAAAATATTCTTAACATCAAAATATATTAATAAGGCTGGATGTACTGCATAATACAATTCGGCCAAACAAAATAACATAAATTCATCCTTGTTTTTAAAAGGGGTTGGATGAAGCAGACGCTTATACAGTTTATGTAAAAATACATAAGAAATGTATACGGTTGTGCTTGAAAGGGAGATTTCATTGTTTTGGAATGTTATGAATAACAATCCCTAATTTATCTTCTCTTTGTGAAGCTATTTATTGTCAAATATGTGCAAGATGGCAACCCAAGAAAATCAGAAATCAGGAATCAAAAGAACTGGAGTCTTTTTCCCATGAAGAATGGGCAGTTTTTCAGTGAGTGAAAAACAGCATTATCTCTAATAAACTGTCAACCCCAATTTTATAAAACGGGTTATAGATCTAACATAGTTTTTGACGGGGTAACTCTAGTTTTATTTTGATCTCTTATTACCCCCAGCGTTATAACACCCAGCGTTAGCTGGTAATCAAGGCACAATATTGTAGAAGAAGAAATTCTTAAATTAAAATAAATTATCAAATTAATTTGTATGGTAGAAAACAGCTCTGTCCATAAAGTCATAGACAAAAAATAACCAGCACGGTGAATCCCCTAAATTTTCACAGTTACAGATTATTACATCATTGAGAGTGTTATGCTAACATGTCCACGTGTGCTGTTGCAAAAGCTCTTTCTATTGTTTCATCTTTGAACTCACCTTGCCCATCCCAGCGTGTGCATGTCCCATCTTCACTACCACAGGGTATGACCCACCCGGGACCTGCAGTAGAAAGGAGAAAGCAATGGGTCAAATGTGATAATGCAAATACTTTTCTTTCTTTGATAAACGCACTTATTATATGACTTGGACCCTACGCGCGCTCTGATTGGCTGATTACTGGTCTGATATTTTCCCATCTCGGACCGTTACCATGACAATTGGTCCGAACAGAGCGTATCACATTTGATATCTCTCCTCGGACCATTACCATGACAATCTGTCCGCAGCGCGTATCACACAAAACCAAGTCGGACATGAACATACTTCACAAATATCTCAAAAGCATTGGTAAAGACACAGACGAGAGTACAGACCTCGCGCTCGGTTAATAAGCCGTTAATATTGATAACCCAGGCATCTCACTTCTGTGAGTTAGAAATCCAAAATACAATAAATATAAATTGGATTCTCATTCATCAGTACAACCATCATATTTAGATTAGAGACTAAAGGCGCATTCACACATGTTGCTCTGGTTCACTTTAACTGAACCAATTCTGGTCCATTCATTATTTTCCTGCACCTTTATTAGTCCATTTCTGGGTCGGGGGGTGGCAATGAGAGCTGCCACCAAATGCTCATAGCACCTGTCTCTCGCTGATCCTCTGCGGGTGTTGGGTCCACAGGAAGATGGCTGCTCTGTCAGCGGTGACACAGCCTTGTTCTTTCAGCGGGAGCTTCGAGCAACGTGGGGTTAAGTGTCTTGCCCAAGAACACAAAGACAGCAAACATGAGTGGGAGCAGTTGGAGTAGGTATTGTGGGAGGATTGAACCCATGACCAACTGAGCCACTGTCACCCCCAATTCTTTATCTAGATTTATTAATGGATGTAAACTAACTATTTGTGGATATAAACTATTACTAAAGAAGTGAACACGTACGAACTAGACCTGGTCCAGTTAAAGTGAACCAGAAATGTGAATGCATCCTGAATACGTTGCAAATATATTAATATTAATTGCCAATGTTTTTTAGGGCCAAAACAAAGACTTTCCATTCTTAATTCTATGGAATAAGATTTCCTCAGCCCAGAAAAAATAGACACTGTGGAAAGCAACATTTGTGAAAAACAAAATGACGCACTTAACAAGGGAGTTTCAGAACCCATGACTAAGAATAGAACGTGGAAAATACATTGAATATGATATTGACAGTGGCCAAAGCGGAGAAACCATTTCCGAACAGTGTGTGCCAGTCCCAGCTCTTCCCGGGCACACCAAACCCAAAAGGAATGGAAGCACCACAAACAAGAGGAGAAATATCATCACATGACTTCAATCCGGAGCCTGGACACCACCCTGATAAACACAAAGAGACTTTTATTGCACAAGTAATAGAATAAGGGACATTTCCAGCTTTGGTCATTCAAGTTGTTTAATCATAATCAACTTGATTCAATCTTATAAAAAGTTATTATCATTCATTTCATCATTTGAAGAAATAAGAATTGTTTAGTCACCGCTTTTGAGTTGACCCCAGTATCTATTATTGCAAAAATGACAGTATATTTCAAACCAACGCCATATGATAGCATGACAGAAGAAATGTTTTCAGGTGGGTATGTCCACAAAGGTTGGACATACCCAATGTATTTGCATATAAAATACATTACATTAAACATCACAGGCTTGTGAGTGTGATGCATCATTCTAAAGCTAGAGCCTACTAGTTTATGTAAATATACAGTAGAATAATGCAAGTCATTCCTATTTCACTTTGCATCCTTTGAAGTTTGGGAGAAAAACCTGTTTTTTTTTGCCTTGCCCCTAAACATTTCTATAAACCCTAAAAGCATACTTCATTGTAAGCTCACAATATTCGAACCCTGTGGTCATTTTCTTGTTGGCTACAATTGTCTAAAGTTTCGGACCTCTAGGTTTTATAGTTTTGATGCAGTTAAATTACTCAAATTATAGCTCATCCATCACCATAAAAAACAAACGTTTATGTTTTGGTAAGTATATAACAAGTCCCACGACTGGTTTGAAAGCTATCGTCATAGGCTGTTTAGATCTATCAATCATTAGCGTAGAAGCGTCAATGTGGCTACCGCTAACGCAGCTACGAGGCTGCAGACGAGTTTACAAAAGCGGCTGTTGTAAAAAAATCTACAGCACGGATCGCCTCAACCAAGGTCTCATTGTTTAGCTATGAAGAAGAGGAACACAAGGAAAGTGGGAAGGAGCAACTCGTAATGTATTTCCCTAAAGAAAAAGACACAATTCTGAATCATTACTCCATACTGGACTATAGTGGATATTTATTTTCCATGGACATTACAGAATTAATGAGCCACAGCAAGCATGTATAATCCGTGTATCATTCGTTCTTTTGATTTTCTAAATAAAACCAACATTGAAAAAACGAATAACGAGGGATGTTTTTGATTCTCAATATTTGAATTTAATGCAAAATTGAAATATCGGTTTGTTTTTGGTTTTCTGTTGATCTAATTAAAACGAAAATGCAGTAAACCAATAATGATCGTCTAAATTACTTTTTGCGATTTCCATTTGAAACACAAGAATCCCCCTGAAGTGATTCGCAAGTGCGCACCCCACAGGTAAACAGTGGAGTAGCGGTGGAGATGAACTAAATGATGGGTGCTTTGGAAGACTTTGCAGATACAGCGATAGAATGGTTCTAAAACATTCAAACATATGCAGAAATATCAACCACGTTACACCGACTAGGTTTGTCCTAATGTCAAGTCATCAGCTGAGTCATGTCTCTTCTTTTTGATACAGTGGTTAATCACGAAAGCAAACTTTTTGAAGTGGCTCAGAGAAAGGTATTCTGAGTAAATGTATTCATTAAACATGGATCATGTTCCTGCCCACTGTGCCCAGTATATACATACATACATTTTTTTTTTTACATATCAGCCGCCTTAAAACTATTGCTGCTCCATCTCTTTTTCCTGGAATAATTTTATTGCAACATTCAAGAGGGATCCTGTCTCCCGAGGCTCAGGAATCACAGCTCGTTGTGTTTTGGCAAATTATGAAGGCCAAAGACTAAATTCATCATGTATGTAAATCTGTGTGTCTGTTCCAGTGTAAATATTTTTGATTAGTTTGTTCCCAAATTAAAACACACCTGGACACAATTCTGTACATTTTTTTTCTAAATTGTGTTGAATCGCAATGGAAAACCCGTTAAAACAAATACTAAACTATTAGTGTATTATGTATCAATAGATTTATGAATTAGGAAATGACATTCTTAACTAAATAAGACTGTAAAATGACAAGTTGTGTATTTGAATGTACCTTTACAGAACAGCTTACACCTCAGACTTCCTTTCAGCAGCAACATGGGTCCAATTTTATGTAGACTTTACTAAGGACTTACATGCAAGCACAGGATCCAGAGCTAAGAATGAAAGAACAATACAAAAAAAAAGCTGTGTTAAAAAGACACATAATTACATATTTACAGCAAGTCACACATACAAAGAAGCCAGTGACTCCAAAGTTTAGAAGTGACCCTGACTGAGCTGATGTAAGGGCAAACCAGGGACTGTACAATACTATTAGGTACCATCATGACTCTACACATGAACCGATAGTAGCAGTGACGTAGGAAAGGAGCGCACCCTGCACTCAGCAAACATCTGACTGGACGACTGTGTCTGGGATCTTCAGCAGCATCCTCACTGAGTCATAGCAAACTGTTAACCTCTGCAGACTGACTGCTTGTAGCTCCGCCACAGTTGGTTTGTGAATAAAGGAGCCCAAAATGACTGGAACAAGGAGGTTTTTACATTCACAGAACACATGTTAGACTTCCTAACCAGCATGTTAGATTGACCATACAGTTTACATCTCTATCTGTGAGGTCACTGCGTGTGTAATGCCCATTAAGACCAGGACAACTGGATTTTAGAACAGTTTTTACACTTTCAAATGTGACAGAACATAATGTACACTAATGAGTACGTGCTTTTTCATGCAATGATTCTAATTTTGTAACATAAATTTACAATGATAAACACGAGTTGAAAGTTTAAAATGTCAAGGAACAAAAAGGAGATTTGTAGATCAGTTATTATTAATTTTATTGCATTGACATAAACACATCCATCTTTGCAGATCACTGGTACAGGCCAAGGCTGGGAGTAGTGTGAAGTCTGAAACCTTTACCTGCTGCACACCCAGTGAGATCTAAAACAGAAAAGTGGGTTTAGAACAGACATAATTATTACTTGTTACAACTTAACTATCTTATAAAGTCCTGCTGACTTTATAACTTTATAAGAGAAATAGTAACCACCAAACAGAAAGATGCTATGCTAGTCTTCTATCAGGACAGGAACTCAAACTGAACATGAGCCCAGCGGCTTTGACTGTTTCAAACCTGCAGTCTTTCTGACTGTTTCAAACCTGCAGTCTTTCTGACCTTTTCCAACCTGCAGTCTTTCTGACTGTTTCAAACCTGCAGTCTTTCTGACTGTTTCAAACCTGCAGTCTTTCTGACTGTTTCCAACCTGCAGTCTTTCTGACTGTTTCCAACCTGCAGTCTTTCTGACTGTTTCCAACCTGCAGTCTTTCTGACTGTTTCAAACCTGCAGTCTTTCTGACTGTTTCAAACCTGCAGTCTTTCTGACCTTTTCCAACCTGCAGTCTTTCTGACTGTTTCAAACCTGCAGTCTTTCTGACTGTTTCAAACCTGCAGTCTTTCTGACTGTTTCCAACCTGCAGTCTTTCTGACTGTTTCAAACCTGCAGTCTTTCTGACTGTTTCAAACCTGCAGTCTTTCTGACCTTTTCCAACCTGCAGTCTTTGACTGTTTCAAACCTGCAGTCTTTCTGACTGTTTCAAACCTGCAGTCTTTCTGACTGTTTCCAACCTGCAGTCTTTCTGACTGTTTCAAACCTGCAGTCTTTCTGACTGTTTCAAACCTGCAGTCTTTCTGACTGTTTCAAACCTGCAGTCTTTCTGACTGTTTCCAACCTGCAGTCTTTCTGACTGTTTCAAACCTGCAGTCTTTCTGACTGTTTCAAACCTGCAGTCTTTCTGACCTTTTCCAACCTGCAGTCTTTCTGACTGTTTCAAACCTGCAGTCTTTCTGACTGTTTCAAACCTGCAGTCTTTCTGACTGTTTCCAACCTGCAGTCTTTCTGACTGTTTCAAACCTGCAGTCTTTCTGACTGTTTCAAACCTGCAGTCTTTCTGACTGTTTCAAACCTGCAGTCTTTCTGACTGTTTCCAACCTGCAGTCTTTCTGACTGTTTCAAACCTGCAGTCTTTCTGACTGTTTCAAACCTGCAGTCTTTCTGACTGTTTCAAACCTGCAGTCTTTCTGACTGTTTCAAACCTGCAGTCTGAGGGCTCCTCGTTTCTCTCTTCATAAGCCTGAAGCATCTAGCTCTAACTACTGTCCCTCGACAATAATTGAGAATGAAGCAGAAACAAAGCACAATTGAATGGTTAAGGTACATCTAGCATCATCTTTTATTTACTAAAATTTAGCATGATCACCAATACACAAACATATCATGTTCTTATATAATATGAAAGTCTATAACATACATTTATAATAATAAAGCACCCAAATTAGGGGCATTTGTTACATGTGTAAGTGTTTCATGTATGTGCTTAAGCTAAATGTGTCGTAGCTAACGCTAACTTAGCTGTTAGCGCTAGTTGCTAAGTTATGTCTTACCTTGACACTTGTGTATATATTTTTCATCGAAGAACCCCTTCTCTCTTGAATCTGAGAATTCTCATCTGCGATGGTCTCTGCAGCAGCGAACGAAAAAGCTGGTAATCTGACTGATGTTGAGGAGAGTTTTAAGAGACATTTCTCCTACAACCAGCGCTAACAAGGTGCGATCCAAGTACCTGGAGGCGACACTTCCTGGTCTCGTGACAAACTCGCACTTTCGAATCACTTCCGGGGGACGTTTGTGTTTCAAAGGAAAATCGCTAAATGTAATTTTGACGGTCATTACTGGTTTACTGCATTTTCGTTTTAATTGGATCCACAGAAAACAAAAAAACAAACCAATATTTCAATTTTGCATTAAATTCAAATATTGAGAATCAAAAACATCCCTCGTTATTTGTTTTTTCAATGTTGGTTTTATTTAGAAAATCAAAAGAACGAATGATACACGGATTATGTATTACTTCAATATTTCAGACACAGCACGAGTAAGGGTAGGAGAAGCAATGAGAATTCTTTGTTTTTGTGCCCATATTATACTTTATATATATATATATATATATATTAGTGTAAAGTCTGTTATTGGCTGCATTTGTATATTAATGTAGATGACAAAATAAGATTTAAAATGATATACAGCCCGTGGCGTTTGAAGACCAAAATAAATGTGCTTTGACGAGCTGAACTCAGTTGTTTAGTCCTCTGAGATAACTACTGTTGTGATTTAGGGCTATACAAGAATACATTGAATTGAATTAAACCCAGACACGGGGAGAACATGCAAACTCCACTCAGAAAGGCTGTTCCGACCGGGATAAGTGTGAATGTGGTGACAGGGCACTGGAGTGACGCAGGCCTCACGCCTTCACACAGAACTGACAGAGCCCAGAGCAGAGCGGCCCCTCTCCACTGCAGTGTCAGTGACGCCCAGAGGGTCCACATCATAAAGAGAGGAAATGTACTGTACATGAGGATTCTCCTGTTTTTATGATGATATTTCTCTTCTCACAGTCTGTGTTCTTTCTTATTGGGTTTATGGATTCAATGTTTTTGTGTTCATATTTTTAGATGGACAAAGCACATATTTATTTGTATCTGGCCATACTTGTATGTGAAAGCTAGAGCCCGTCAGACCTTTGAAGCTATGTAGGGAAGGGTCTGGTTAGTACTGTGATGGGAGACCATTGGAAAGATGGTGCCACAGAAGGGTGGCTGCAGCTGTAAAGCGCAAGACTGTATTGTTTCCTTGGGCAAGACACTTCACTCACATTGCCTAGAATGAGTCTGGTGTGTGGACGGAGCAGCTGATGGCACATACTAATTGCCTCGCTTCTGTCAATGTGCCCCAGGGCAGCTGTGGATACAGTTGTAGTTCATCACAACCGTGTATGGAGTGAATGAATAATGACACGTGGAGCGTCTTTGAGTGTACCGAAAAGCACTATATAAAACTGCTGCATTATTATCATTATTGATACGGCTGTTGTGGAGGGGATAAAGTGGAGTACAGGGGTCTGGTGGCTACTTTCTTCGACTGAAGCGAGATAAATGGTCCAAGACCAAGAAGATGATCATTGACTTTCAAAGGGGCCCTTCAGTAATAAGCTAGGATCAATAAACCTTGGGACAAACTGACAGTAAACACCTACAAGAACAATGCCCTAAAATGCAAATCTTTCCTAATGCAATTTAAAGCGTGTTTTTGGTACGCCAAGACACATAACTTTAATTGATTTTCTTTACAAGAGAAAGTATAGAGCCAAACAATGTTCTATGCTTATAAAATCCCTAGCCTCAGTATCAGATGTGGTTCCCTTTGGCTGCAGACCTCAACCCTACTACACCATTATCCCAGCACCAGTCTGTAAAAATCCACTCTGTAATCTACTAACTTGTTTATCAAGGCTTGCGAAGGACAACAAGCTCTTATGGCTCCTGGAGATTTTCAACATACTCTAAGAAAGAACAAGATATGTAATAAAAAAGGTCAACATTAAATAGGTGTGACTTGGAAAGAGACAAGTACATTTGTTGTAATAATAATTATAATATTAATGTAATAAAAAAATCCATCCATCCATCCATCTTCTTCCCTTTAATCCATTTCTGGGTCAGGGGGGTGGCAATGAGAGATGCCACCCAAGTCTCATAGCACCAGCCCCTCACTGACCCTCTGCAGGTGGTGAGTCCACAGGAGGACGGCTGCTCTCTGACTGTGAGCATAGCCTTGATCTTTCAGTGGGGGCTTTGGGCAAAGTGGGGTTAAGTGTCTTGCCCAAGGACACAACGACAGCAGTCATCAATGGGAGTCATAATAAAAAAAAAATAATAATAATAAAATACAAAAATAACAGAACTATTCAAGATTTGGTTGACTGATACTGGAACCACCAGTTAGAAGAGTTACATTTTATAGTATATAATGTCTATAATTTTTCTCTAAAAGTAATTCAACAAAGTGCAGACCTGGCAGAAGATCACAACAGCGAGAAACCTTATTTTTTTCCTTGTGCCAAAATGCTTGTGGGATTCTGTCAAAGCATGTGCTTTGAAAACAGGATTGTTAGAGATTGGGCGATTTGAACAAATAGAAACACTTGAAAGAAATAAATCACTCAAAAAACAACTTTGAGCAGACACGTTTTCCATTGTATTTCTCCTTTAAGATTGGCTGCAATTAAAGATCTGTGTAATACACAGCCGACTATATTTCACGTGAATGTGTGTGCCCGTAAACAGGGCCCTTTACAGTAAGTGCAGCGCCTGGTCCTAGTTTCAGAGGAATTCAGAACCAAACCTGTGGAGCATATGCCCCAGACTAGTGTTGAGTCATATTCATTCATGACATGCCCAAGTGATGCTATCAAAGCACTCGGAAGCAAACACTATACATACCGTATGTTGGGGACATTCATAGTTTGATCTATCAAACTACAATCTATTACAGCATTTAGGTTTTGTAGCAGTAGTAATGGAGCATGTATAACTATTTTACTTGTCTTTACACTTCTGTCTGTAGCACTATCCAATCCATCCACGGTTTGTATTTTGAGTCAAACGTAAAGACGACGACTCTAGAGTAGAAATGGCTGCATATCTTCTACAACATACGTTGCTACAAGTTTATTTATTTCAGTCTTTGAGGTTTAACATGACAGTTATTCATGCTCTTTGGCTATTCGCTTAAAACGCTGCAAGTGTTTTAAAAAGGTTCGAGAATGAGTAGAGGACAATCATTTGGTGCCTGTGCAAAGCTTGCACTCCAAAGCAACACAAAAAAATTAAAGATAGACCACATTCGTTCAGCTCAAAGTGTCAAATGGTGACTCACAGAGCTCTTTCTTACAAGTATCTAATTTCCAATTAGATAAAGACAGCCTGGGAACTACTTTTACAAGACTCTGGCACCCCTATACTTTGATTGCATAATCAGATACTTCTACAATTCCATCAAGTACTGACTGAAGATTGACGACCGACAAGAAAAAGTAACTTAAATTATTCAGTAATTTTTCTGTGTCTTGTATTGACAGACTAATCAGACTGCCAGTATTTTATGACATGGACATACAGGGGGAAGCAGGACCCCAAAGAACTTTCATTGTTTGAGACCAAAGAGAACCACATCAGACCATGACCACAGTCCCACTGGGGGAAAACACTGCTGCTAGTCAGGCTCCAGTTCATAGTAAACAATGAAAACAGTAAGTATGTCCTATACGTTTAAGAGCCAGGGCGGAGGCTTCAAAATCTGACTAACACCACACATTTCTTTCTCTTCATCTGCATTTTCTTTAAGGGAGAGCCAATTTTCACTGGCGGTTTCTGAAACTGTGTTCTCAAAAAGGCCAAATTATGTCATTTTTGGGAGGTGGCGAATGCAGTACGACCAAATACAAAAGGACCCAAGACACATGACCGCAATAAGATTTTCTGCAGCAATGATTTGAACTTTGGCATTTGGCCAAATTAGAAAAAAAGGTTCTTATACTGTTGAGGAGTTTACCAAAAACATGAAGGGGTCTAATCAAAATAAATACATGATTTTTTGGATAAATATTGATACAATTATTTCCAGATTGATTTTTCATTCACATACAGTATATTTTTATTTATTTGATGTCCTATGCATCAAATCTTATTCTCATTGTATTTCAAAATAAAATTGTACGTAGTCATTGTTATAATATTTGGGTCATTGAATGCCTGGGACTTTACTTTTTTCAATTCCATCTGGACAAATTGGCCTTTGTTTCCAATTTACAGTAAACACATTGCTCACAATTACCAGATATTTGTGGGAAAGATCTTGTTTATACGACATGATGTGTGATGGACATGCTTAAGAAATTACTTTTTATTTTATTTGGCAACGCAAATCCTCTGTCTCTTTGTGAAGTTACAGCCTGAGAGTTTATCTGAGGGAAATTGTGGTCAGGTGCTTGATAATAGGTTGGCTCCGTGCGGTACAATCGGTTCTATTGTTCTTGGCTCATTCAGGCAGTGAGCCACTATTGGTCATTATTGTTTGATTGTTTCCAGAGATATTGCGGATTAGTCAACACCGGTGTGTCAATAGTGATATATGATTTAAGTATAGTATAGCAGTAATAGTTCAGTACAGCCAATGATAATGAGGGTGGGTCCTCCCAAACCACTGAACTGGGCTGGGAACTCAAACTGAACCAAGTATTACATGGAAAACATCACACTATAATAGACAAGACAGACTAATATTTATTTATATTGCACATTTCCTACAATTACATGCAACTGTAAGTGTTTCTCCTTTACTAGAAAAATAGAACAAATTCACGACTTTCTCCTCGCAAGGAGGAGTAAGTAAATATGGATCTCTTGTAAATGTCAAAACAAACTGGATTATGGAGTAAATGGACTAAAGTTAGTGGCTTCACCGTATATTTAAAAGAATGGTAATCATTGTTCTATATTGCATTCAAACAGCTCTTCTCAGCTGCAGTCGTGTGCTGTCGTGTTGAAGACCTGTCTGCAGATGTTTTTCTGATTCTCGGAATACTTTGTGCTCTACTGCCAAATGACATTTGCAGCAACCTTTGTATGAGCTGCTATTAAAACTGATCATAATATACCGTCAATGAGTGAGGACTTTAAATCTAAACCCACCTGTTCCAACTGGCATTTTTTACACATTTTTGTCTTACGTACTGAAGTATCCACAGCACAATATATGTTTGATGCATACAAGAGAGGCTCATTTTGTAATTTGACTACACTCTGAATGGCTTGGTTTAGAAAATTACAATTTTATTGTTGTTAACATGTGAGTCACTATTGGATGCTTTGGGCTGTGAGCTGATTGGTCGTGTGAGGATGGTCCCCCTCTATTTAACCTTTCAGTCCGAATCAGGCATTAAAAACTAGAGATGGAACCGAACCATTCTGAGAACGAGGGATGTGTTTTTAAGAGATTTTATTTTATTTTTCATCTTTTGTGATTTGAAAATTAAGTACCTAAGCTTTAATAAGAAAAGTATAATGATTTGACCTGGACTAAAATTAACTACAGAACCATTTAGCATGAGCCATTCAGTCTGACTGACACAGGGCTGACACATGCAGTAGCTCCACCACAGTGTGAGGCACAGTGGGTCTGCTCTAACGAGGCAGACGTAATTATTGTTGTGGAGTTTGGGCTCGTCTGGCTCCCATTAGTGTCCGTCCGGGTGAATTTCCATCGTCTGGAAAACAAGGAGATTCCTGATTATGGAAGTTTACAGCTCTCTCTTGGGAAAGTTCACGGTGAAGAAGAGAGATCAAACAAAATGCACATGCTCATTGGGGGCGTCCAAACTTTGGTCAGCGAGGGCAACATTGAGAATAATAATCAAAGCCAGAGTGTCGTTGTAAAATCTAGTGTACATTTGTGAACAAGTTGTTTAGTTCTATAATAATATTGGCGT